ACTGCCTTGTAGGTTCACTCTTACCAGTCAGTATACACACACACACACACACACACACACACACACACACACACACACACACACGACACATACGACAGCCTTGGCTCCTTGCCCCTTGGTGGTCCTGCTACAGCTGTTCCAGGCCTGTGCCCCGGGCCAGCACGCAGCTCCTTCCATGCAGCCAGAGCTGTCCTAAAGAATCATGATGGAGGATGGGGCCGTCTAATAACAACAGGGCCTTCTCTGCCAGTGCTTGGAAAGGGAACGCCAGGTCCCCAAGCCCAGCTCTGCCAAACCCACCCTCTCGCCAAGGGTTTCCCCCCACACCCTGCAGGGGCTGTGTGGCCAAGCACTGCACCAGGGAGCTCAATAATATTTGTAAATGAGCCACAAGGCTTAGTGTGTATGCGTTTGTCCGTGTGTGTGTGTGTGTGTGTGTGTGTGTGTGTGTGTGTGTGTGTGTGTCTGTGTGTGTGTGTGTGTGTGTCTGTGTATAAGCCAGAAGTCAACGTTGGGTGTCTTTCCTCCGATACTCTCCTCCTCCTCCTCTTCCTGGACAGGACAGCATCTTTCACTGGCCTGGAACTGGTTGAGTAGGCTAGGCTGGCCGGCCACTGAGCTCCAGGGATCCACCTGTCTACCTCCCCAGCTGGGATGACAAGGAGGCACGTTCTACCACACCCTGGTTTTTGTTTGTTTGCTTTGCTTGTTTTTGAGACAGGGTCTCATGTAGCCCCAGCTCGCCTCAAACTCCTTGTAGAGCTGATGTGACCTTGAACTGCTGGTCCTTCTGCCTCTACCTCCCTGGGCTGGGATGATAGGTATGCACGACTATGCCCAGTTTAAGGATTGCTGGGGTGGAATCCAGGGCTTCTTTATAGGCAAGTAAGCACCTCACCCTCTAAGCTCTGTTTAGCCCTAGCCCATGATCAGCTCTTTGACATGGAGTCTGGCAATCAAGCTCAGGTCCTCATGCACGCACCACAGGCCCTTTACCAGCCGGGCCTTCTCCTCGGCGCCCAGGCTTGTTTTTTTATGGTCCATCTTGTTTCTTGGATGGTTTTGTCAGTCCTACATTGACACTTAGCATGGATTATGAAAAAATAACAATAATCTGGCATGAGAGGAAATGCTCTGAGCTCCTAGATGACATCTCCTCCACCTTCTGTGTGCCCACATCCAGTGTTGCCACGTTTTTTTCTTCTTCTTGCTTTTGTCATGGAGCCTGAGTTCCTTGATAGTGGCAAGAAGCCAGAACCCTATGTGGGGGTGGCCTGGTTGTGCAGCCCTCTTGCAGGGCGTTGGTTACAGCACCGATAGGCATTATTGTATTCAAAATTGACAGGCACAGTCATATCCCTGGCCAAGACCGAAGGCTGGAGTCACCGGCAGAAGGAACACCGAGCCTTCGAAGCAACAGGAACCCAGTCCTTTCCCTTTAGAGGGGATGGGTGGCCCCCTCCCTGCCCGCTAAAATACAAGGTGATCTGGAAGAACTCAATTTACACCCTGGGCTCCTGTGGGCTGGGGGATCAGCAGAGGGCAGGATAATCCCAGCTTCTCCAGCAGATGGTTTCTGACTACGATTGACCCAGTTCCCTCCCTGCAGTTGACTAGCAGCGGGGCTGGAAGCACGGACCCTCCCTCCTCCCACCAGCAAGCACAGGGTGGCTTTTGCCTCTTCGGTACCGGGTCAAGTGGCAGATTGCTTCAAGTTCCTGAAGGCAAAGCGCGGGTCTCCTGCTCTCCTTCCTGTTTCCCAGTCCTGTCCAGCCCAACTGAGGCTGGCGAGGAGGGGAAGCCAGGGGTGTCCTCCAGGGCGGGTGCTGGGGGACGGGAGGGGGGCATTAAACCTCTCATTGGCTTAATGACCTCTCCCGTTCATTCATCAGTGGTTCCTTCATAAGCCCTCCCTGATCATCTGTCAGGTCTGGCACTAGACAGGGCCCATGAGGCCTAGCCTCTGTGCTGGAGCTAAGTCAGGCAATGAGGCGGCCAGCCAGGCACTGGGCACCTAATCAAATAAATCACTTCCTCGGGGCACAGAGGGCCAGGGAGGGCTTCACCCAGGAGGAAAGACTGGGCTCCGTCTTAAAGACTGAGAACGAATTTGCCAAATGGTGGGTGGTTCTGGTTACGGAAAGAGCCAGGGGGCCGGAGTGTGTGTGGTGCCTGGTGAGAAGATGCACACAAAACCTGAGACAGGAGGCCAGGTGGGCTCAGGACCATCTTTAAGAATGGACTGTCCCAGGTGCCAGAGATGTCTCTTTCCTGCCCAAAGGCTCACTGGGCCCCTGGTAGGGCGCGGGGAGGACGCAGGATGGGAACAGCAAAGAATGAGTCCGGTGAGGGCAGAAGGGCTGGTATCTTTCAGGATTCTGCTGGGCCCCCTGCTTCAGACTCGAGTTGGCAAAGTCAGACACGCCCTAGTTTTGCCCCGCAGACTTCTGGTCGGTTCCTCGTACTGGGAGAGAGGGGGCGCTCTGTTCCCAGACTTTCGAGCTTCCGCGGAACTGCAGTTCTGGCTAAGGTCCACAGCGTAGGGCTGGCTTGGGAAGTTCGCAATGGGTGGTTTTTTTTTTTTGGTGGAACGACTCCTCTCCCCAAGTCCCAGGTCTCTTTAGGCAGGGTCGTCCCGATGCCGAGGAAAACAAAAACCATACACTTACTTCTACCTCGCAGTCTTGCCTGTGGCTGGGTGAGCCTACCGTGGGCGAGGGTCCTGGAGAGCAAAGGGGCGGCGCGGGGGAGGGGCAGGCAGTGCTTTCTGGTCTCTGGGAACTGTGCCCTACGAGCATTGTTGTCTCAGACCCAGGTAGGGTCGGGAGAAGGGACAGAAAGAATGGGTTACACTTGGGGTTCTCTAGTCAAGGCTGGGAGTCAGACTCTCCTCCACCGCTGGCAGCCAGAAAAAGACACCCCAGAACCGTCTTTTTATACGCTTCTGCAAGGCTGGCTTAGTATGGACCGCCCAAAGAGCCAGTGTGATGCAGGTATCACAGTGCCCCTTTACAGACGAGAAAAAGGCTGGACACGGTGGACTAGATTCAAAGCCGATAGTGCCTGACCCCCTCACTAGAATCTGGGTTTGTCTGAGACTAAGTGTGCCAAGACTGGGATGGCAGAGTGGAGACCCCATCAGTCTGGCAAGCCCTGGGACTCCAGAGGCTTTGGATCCTCAAAGATGGGACCCCGCACAATGCAGGCAGACCCTCTGGCTGACTATGGCAGAGTTGGCCCAGCCTCCAGCAGCCGCCGCCTCACTGCTCTTCTAGCCCAGGGGGCTAATCTGTCGCCCACTGGGACGGCGGCCTGGGACGCTAGAAGGGGGCGCTGCAGTCAGGGAGTGGCATCCACCCGCACCGCTTCTCTGCGGCATTAGAGCTTGCCCCCACCCCACCCCACCCCAGGCTGGACAGCGAAGGATTCGCTCTTGGAGGGTCTGGGGCGCATGCGGCGAGTGAGGATCGCCTGTCTTGGTTGTGAAGGGCGACAGCTTGGGACAGGGGCAAGGCCTGCACGGCCCTGAATAGGGGGCATCCAGAAGCGCCCGGATCCTACTCCTGGAGCGTCGGTGCCATTTATCCATCGTCCCATGGGGCGAGGGTCCTGGGCACTCACGTGGTGGGAAAGTTTCGAGGTAGCAAAAGTGGCCTGGCCTGGCATCACGGGGCGGGGAGGGGGGAGGAGGAGGAAAGAATCTCCTCGCCCCTCCTCGCCAAGGCAGAAAGAGAAAGAGCGGAGGGAAGAGGGGGTGGGAGGAGGATCAGGCAGCACCGACCTGCAGAATCCGCCTCCCCCTCCGCCCCCGGGAAGCCCGAGCAGGGAGGCGCGGACGGTCTCCTCCCGCACGGCCCGGACGACACTCCCCCCTTCTTTTTTTTTTTTCCTGCCAACGTCTATCTCAACGCGCGCGCACATACGGAGATTGTGCGGCTTTTTTACCCCTCGGGGAAAAAGGAACAGGGAGTGGAAAGGAAGAGAAGGCAAAGCGAAGAACTCCTCCTCGGGAGCGCTCTGCACTCTGAGCCACGGCTGGGCGCGGGGACGCTGCTGCCACCGCCACCGCCGCCTCGCTCTCTCCCCGGCCTTGCGGCGTGTGCCAGTGGGAGCGCGAACCAGGGCACTCGATCCCGGGGACACAGAGAGACTTTTGGCCGCCGCTGCCGCGGCAGGCAGAAGAGACAGCAGCGAGAAGGGCCCTGCCACCGCCTCTCCCTCCTCCGCCGCCCCGGCCGGCCCGCGCAGGCAGCCAGGCTCAGGGAAGCGAGGAGGAGCAGAGGCCCCGGAGAAGCGCGCCGCGGCCCGCCCGCCCGTGGATGCAGCGCCCGGGGGAGCCTGGAGACAACTTTGCCGGGTGACGCGCCGGGAGGACCGCAGGGCCCGCGGCCCAGGAGGGCTCGGCGCCGCCTGTAAGAGGGGCCCGCGCGGCGGCGCTCCCCCGCACCGCGCTCGCTCCTCCCGCCGGCCCGGAGCAGGGGGGACGACCTGCCCATCCTCGCCGCCGCCTCGGGCGGCCCTGTCCTCGCTCCGAGCAGCGACAGGGCGAGGCGCTCAGGTGCGGTCGCGGGGCCCCAGCCGCAGCGCCCTCCGCAGCGCCGCGCCCGGGGGGCTCTGGCACCTTCGCTTCCGTCGCCAGAGCGAGTTGCGTCCGCTGGTGCTTCTCTCCACCTTTCCAGCCCGGGCGAGCCAAGCCACCGCGCCAGCGCCACTGCCGCCGCTCATCGCTTTCGCTTCACCCGACCTGGGGGGCTGCGGTGGCCCTCGACGCGGAGAGGATGGGCAAGCTGCAGATGCCTAGGCGCCCCGAGACGCCCGCACGCCAGTGACCCGGCGGTCGCCCACCCCCCCCGCAAAAAGCCCGCGAGCCCCGCTGGTCCCCGCGGCGCCCCTTCTCGGCCGCGCGGGAACCCCCGCGGCCCGGCCGGCCCCCTCCCCCTGCGAGCCGGCGGCAGCGCTCCCGGCAGGCGGGCGGGCGGAGGCCCGGGCGGGGGCGGGGCGGGGCGGTGCGCCCGGAGCCCGGAGCCCGGCCCTGAGCTCGCTTCGCCTCGCCTCGCGGCGGGCGCCCTCGTCGCCAGCGGCGCACCATGGACGGGCTGCCCGGTCGGGCGTTGGGGGCCGCCTGCCTTCTGCTCTTGGCGGCCAGCTGGTTGGGACCCGAGGCCTGGGGCTCCCCCACACCCCCGCCGTCGCCCGCTGCACCGCCCCCGCCCCCGCCACCCGGAGCTCCGGGTGGCTCGCAGGACACCTGTACGTCGTGCGGCGGCGGCGGCGGCGGCTTCCGGCGACCGGAGGAGCTGGGCCGGGTGGACGGTGACTTCCTGGAGGCGGTGAAGCGACACATCTTGAGCCGCCTGCAGTTGCGGGGCCGGCCCAACATCACGCACGCTGTGCCCAAGGCCGCCATGGTCACGGCCTTGCGCAAGCTGCACGCGGGCAAGGTGCGCGAGGATGGCCGCGTGGAGATCCCGCACCTCGACGGCCACGCCAGCCCGGGCGCCGACGGCCAGGAGCGCGTCTCCGAGATCATCAGCTTTGCCGAGACAGGTGGGTTTGGCCTTGGGGAAGCCAGCGGCGGCCGCGATCCCTCCCTTCTTCCCTCGCCTAGGAAGCTCCTGCTGCCTTCGCCGCCTCTGCAGCCCGCACGCCCCGAGGGCATTTAGGCTCCGAGCTGGGCCACTCTGCGGTGGCCTTGCGCTTGTCTCAGGGTGGCGGACCTCTCCTACCCTCTGCACCCGGACCACAGACCCTTTGCTGCTTCTCTTTCCCTGAAGCAACCGGAAAGCACCCTGCCCTTCATCCCTGCTTTCGGGAATTGGGCCCCAGCGCCTCTGGGCGCGCGTCCCCCTCCCGGCAGATGCGCGCAGCCCTGGCTCTGCGGGCACTTGCTTGGTGATTGCTTAATGTTTTTGTTTCCCACGATCCGAGTGTAGGCTTAACAGTGTAGATGGAGATGTGTGTGCTTGTTGATATACGTGGGCCGGAGAGGAGAGGAGAGGAAGAGAGAGAGAGGGGAGAGAGAGAGGAGAGAGAGAGGAGAGAGATAGAGAGAGAGAGAGAGAGAGAGAGAGAGAGAGAGAGAGAGAGAGAGAGAGAGAGCGAGCCAGCCAGCCAGAGCCTGCATGAGAGGCCCCTGGGGCCGCTTCCATCGCCCGGTGGCATAGGCTTGCCAGGATTGCTGAAGCATCGGTGGGGAGAGCTAGGCAACCTCCCTTCCGATTGTGTGGGCACCAGAGTCGGCGGAAGGCAGCTTCTCAACAGGTCCATCATTTACGCAGAGACGCGGCTCAGGAACAGCCCATGCCTTTCGGCTTGCCTGGCAGCCGCGGCAGCCCTCTCTAGTCCGGGAGAGAGCGGCAGAGTTTGTAGTTAACAAAGAGTGGGACTCCTTTCTGCAGGGTCATCCTTGGCCCCGCGCTGCAAATCTCTGTCCACCCTCTAAATATTAAAAATCAGAGAAAGGGGAGGAGAGAAAAATACCTTCAGGACATTTAAAAAGAAGAAGAAGGAAAATTTCCTGGGCAGAAACGGTGTAAGTGCTTTAGATATCGCTGTCCTTTTCAGGACTTGAATGAGCCAGGCTGGCTTTTGTGCCGAGAGCTCAGCCCCATTTATGCTGAGGGGACTCCAGAGAAGGTCTCAGAGGGGGAAGCCCGATGTAGATGTAGTCAGGGTGGGAGACAGGCAGGGAGCCTGGGAAGAGGAGGGGGGGTCAGCTATGCCTCTCGCTGCAGATGCCCCCCTACTCTCCCAGGCATCAGGCAGACTCTGCCTGTGCTGCAGCCGGGGGGATAAAAAGGGATGAAAAGTTTTGCATGGGCGAGTGTGGAGAAAGGCGGAGACAATCGAGGCTGGTCTGTGCTTAGAAAGAAATACATTGCCGTTTTAGCTGTCCGCCAGAGTCAGGGAAAGCTCGACAGGCAATTAGAGGGCTTGGATTAAAAGGTGCTTTGGGGCCCAGAGTAGAAATGTGATTCGGGAAGGTCGAGAGGCCTTTTGGTCCTGGTGGCACAAAATGACAGCAGGGGCTGTTATATTTCTGGTCCGATTCACGGAGCCAGCTCTTTGACTTATAAATAACAGATTCAGGTCACAGGCAGCTCGGCCAAGACCAGCTTTTAAGGCTGCAGTTTCCCCTATTTCAAAGTCAGACGTCAGTGTTATTAGAGGAGCCAGCGAGAACTGAGGAAGGGGCTGGGGGTGGGGTGGGGGGCTTAGTGGGAGGTTTGATAGAACCAGAGCCACGTCTGCAGAGACTGTCAGAGGGACGGGCTGACGAAATGTACTGCGAGAGGGACATCGTCCCTCGTCTGGCGTAGCTATTCTCCTGGCTGAAATGCATAATCGAGGTGACTAGCAACCCCACCCCCCCTCCCCGAGATCTCGAACTGCCATGTTCTTCGAGCCAGGGTCTGGCCCATGGGTGGGACCTCGAGTTTTCCAGGCTGCTGTCCTGTCCCTTGGAATTCCTTGGAAACAACGGCTGCCCTTTGCAGCTTACAGGACATGCACTTCTGTGTCAGAAACCTGAGCACGACTTGCTTGTTTGCAGTGGAGGTCCCACTGGGGTTGGATCAGATCTTGCTTAGGTAAACACTGCAAAGAGGCTGTAGGTGGCTGAGCTTGATTTTGCAATGCCCTAAGTTAACCAGAAAGAAGACAGGGGTGTGTGGAGGGGGGAGCCCATTTAAAACAGCCTACCCCAAATCCTCCCTGCGATCTCGGTTTTGTTTTCAGAGACCCATAACAACTTGTTAAGATCTTGGGCTCCTGACAAGTCATTCTGTTGAGCTTTGAGGCCCAACAGTCCTTTCTCCAGGGAGCCCTGGCCTGGGAGAGGTGAGGCAGGATTTTTATAGGTCTGGACCCTCTGGCTCCACCCGATCCTGTTTTCTCAATGGGAAGTGATTCTTCTGCCTCTGGCAGGTTATGGCAGAGGCTCGGGCCCCAGGAATGGTATTTCTGGTCAGTAACACTTTCCAGCTGTGGTGAGTGTTCATTCCCGACATCACACAGCAGAGTCCATTCCCCATTGCCTTGTGTTCTCGTGGAATTAACTTGGCCCGTTCTTCCCCGTCTCCACAGATGGCCTCGCCTCCTCCCGGGTCCGCCTGTACTTCTTCGTCTCTAATGAAGGCAACCAGAACCTCTTTGTGGTGCAGGCCAGCCTGTGGCTGTACCTCAAACTCCTCCCCTACGTCCTGGAGAAGGGCAACCGGAGGAAGGTACGGGTCAAGGTGTACTTCCAGGAGCAGGGTCACGGTGACAGGTGGAATGTGGTGGAGAAGAAGGTGGACCTGAAGCGGAGCGGCTGGCATACCTTCCCCATCACAGAGGCCATCCAGGCCTTATTTGAGCGGGGTGAGAGACGCCTTAACCTGGATGTACAGTGTGACAGCTGCCAGGAGCTGGCCGTGGTGCCCGTGTTTGTGGACCCCGGTGAGGAGTCACACAGGCCCTTTGTAGTGGTGCAGGCCCGCCTAGGTGATAGCAGACATCGGATCCGCAAACGGGGCCTAGAGTGTGATGGGCGGACCAGCCTCTGTTGCAGGCAACAGTTCTTCATCGACTTTCGGCTCATCGGCTGGAACGATTGGATCATTGCACCCACTGGCTACTACGGGAACTACTGTGAGGGCAGCTGCCCGGCCTACCTGGCTGGGGTCCCTGGCTCAGCCTCCTCCTTCCACACTGCTGTGGTGAACCAGTACCGCATGCGTGGCCTGAACCCAGGGCCCGTGAACTCTTGCTGCATCCCCACCAAGCTGAGCTCCATGTCCATGCTCTACTTTGATGACGAGTACAACATTGTCAAGCGGGACGTGCCCAACATGATCGTGGAGGAGTGTGGCTGTGCCTGACAGCGGCAGTGTGTGCGGTAGCACAGGCCCGCGGGGCTTTGAGGGAGCAGGAGAGCTGAGTGTGGTTGTTCCGTTGGGCTGCGGAGAGTGCCAGGGTGAGGCCTGAAATGTTGTTCTCCTACTTCATCGAAAACCAGTCAGAACCAGAGGGAGAACCCTCCTGTGCCACGAGAGACTCCTCCTAACCGCACGCATAGACACACGTAGCCAGACTCACCCCGCCACCCACACAGCAGCCTCCAGGATACCAGCAAACGGATGCGGTGACAAATGGCAACTTAGCTACCAATGCCTGTCAGTTGGAGAGAATGGGGTGAGCAGCTACCATTCCCACCAGCTGGCCGGGCACTCTGAATCGCGCCTTCTGAGCACACATAAAAGCACAAAGACAGGACACAGAGAGAGTGAGCCAGAGAGCCACCAAGAGGAAAAGCAGGCTGGGAGCACAGGCGGGTGGAGGGCCATGTGCCCCTGGCTTGTCCCAGGCTCTTCACCGCAGCGCCTGGCGCTGTCCTGCCTGCTCACTCCCCGCCTGGCATCCTTCATGCTTTGAGGCCAGCAGAGCTGTGCCACCCTGTTCTTGGAGAGGGCGGATAGCCCAGGAGGGCCTCGCCTTGTCACAGAGACCATGGAGCAGGGACAGTGACCCTTTGACTGTCTGTCGCTTGGATCCCTGGTGTGACTTATGTGTGTGTGTTTGTTTGCAGGGGTTGGGGGGGGGGGAGAGGAGAAGGGTCTTAATTTTATGCTTTAATCTGGTCTTCAACAACTGACAGGTCGTTTGTGCCAGTTGCAGAGTTGAAAAGAGCCTATGAGCAATGACCTTTGAAGTGGATTCTAAATGAGAAGGGAAAAAAATGTTGCAATCAGTGAGTGCCCTTTGCTGGGGACATCCTCCTAGGGCTGCGGTGAGAGGGACAGGGATGGCCACTAGGCCAGGGGAAGAGCCCAGGGGAGGCAGTGGCAGAGTGGAGGTGTTCTGGTGAGTTGCTTAACTGGTCTTGGAGAGACAGGAAAAGCTTTCAGTTGCTTTGCAGAAGCTGTCCCCCCCGCCCCCGTGGGTGGGCCCTGGCTCCAGGGTCGTCCGTGGACATGGCTCCTGCCCCCTTCACTTGCCCACCTGCCTGCCCCACGAAGCAGTTGCGGTCCTGCGTGAGCGCACAGGACAGTGGCACTGCAGGCCGACGTGTGTCCAGAAGTGGCCCCGGGGCACGAGCTGCCGTGGCTGCTGTCCTGGTGGATGTCCAAGTGCCACGTGAACTATGCAATTTAAAGGGTTGACCCACACTAGGCGAAACTGGACTCGTACGTCTCTTTTATATTTTTATACTTGAAATGAAATCCTTTGCTTCTTTTCTAAGCGAATGATCGCTTTCAATGTTTGCACTGATTTAGCTGCATGGTTAGTCAGAAACTGCCATTTGAAAAAAAGTTATTTTTATAGCAGCAGAAAAAAAGTGAATACAGTTAAATGTATTATACATAATTTTGGAACCAAAGAGGCCAGCGGATCAGTTTTAATTTTTATTAGATGGTAAGGCCATCTTCTATGAGGTAGATGTTCTAAACAACCCCTTGAGTGGCCTGCCAGAGTTTCAGGGTATAAATGAATCTTTTTTTTATTCAGTTGACGTGTCTCTTCTGTTCTTACACACCCAGAAAGTAGAGTAAAAAAAATGATGGTAGAATGCAGGTGTGTATCTGTAAGTTCTCATCTTTAGTTTATTTAATGAAGCCCTCCTTAGTTTCTGTTTCATAATAACTTAAAACCAAACAACTTCCCCCCACAGACTGACTGTCTAAGTATTTTATGTTCATGTACAGTTTAAGAAAATAAAAGACGGAGTGCCATGGGCTTCCTGCCTTGTGTGATGTCTGGGGCAGCGGGCAGCTGGGAGGAAGGGGTTGGTCCAGGTGTCCGGCTCCGATGCCAGCGGTCCCCAAGACGTGCCCTCGACACCCCCAGAGCCCTTGCCTGACACATATGTCACACAGAAGCTGGAAGAGGTGATGGGACACCAGCCGGGAGGCAATTAGCAAATTAACGAATTACACATTTGTTTACCATTCCCGTCCCCAACTAGTTCTGTTCTGTCAAAGCTGGGTCGCTTTGCTTTTCAAAAGTACTGTGGTACTTGATGCCAACCTTGGTGACCCGAGTTCGAGCCCAGAGTCCCGCATAGTGGAGAGAGAGATTCTCTGGTCTCCCCTACACAGGCTGTACATAACACACATACATACAAATGGAGTGGGGGGTAAATGAAAAATTTGAAGGTGCTGGTTAAGGCTCCAGGCCACAAAGGGAGTGTGCAACCTGGAAGGTGAGTTCCTTCTCCAACATCCCGGGCCTCTGTGCTCACCTCCAGGTTCTGATGTAGGTGTTTGGGAGGGAATAGGGTTCAGATCCTGTCATTAGAGGGTAAGCAGGCAGGGACTGTGAGTATGCTAATCACCCTTTGCCATGGCAGTCTATTGAGTAGAAGGCTAGCAGCTCAGCCACCACCGGGTAGGACTTAGAGACCTGATCAGTCCTGTGGGCTCACAGACCTTGCATCGTGCATCTTTCCTTCCCAAAGAGTGGGAGGTGAGCTGAGAGCCCAGATCCACCCTACCCAAGGTCACCCCACCAAGACAGGGTCCCTGGTCACAGGTGACCACTTGCTGGTTTGTGAGGATTGGAGGCTTATAAATTGCCTTTATCTGAGCCCTGCAGGCCCTGTGGGCTTTTTATTTTATTTTTTAATGTTGTGTGTAAGCTCACTGATTTGGCTTGACTAGCCGGCCAGCAAGTCCTGGAGAATTCCCCTGTCTGCAGTTCCCCAGCACTGGCTGTAGGTACATGCCTGGCTTTTCCATGGGTTCTGGGGACTTGAACTCAGGTCCCATGCTTATGTGACAAGCACATTACCGACCGAGTCATCGTCCTAGCTCTGCTCTGGGACGGGTTTTGCGGGTGGAAGAATAAAAGTGACCAGAGGGAGAAGGACATGTGAAGGGTCTGGGGCTAGAGGGCCGAGAGCCACTGAGCATCTCTGCTCCCCGACCCTGATCTGTGTCCCCGTGGGCCCAGCCCACACGCTCACCATGGCTAGGAGGCACAGTGAGGCCAGGTACCCCTGTGGGTCTGGGCTGGCTTGGGTTTTGTTTTTTTTTTGTTTTCTCTCTCATGTACCTCAGGTTTGCCTCAAACTTACTATGTAGCCAAAGATGACCTGGAATCCCAGCTTCTCCTGCCTCCTCCACCTCTTCAGTGCTGGGATTACGGGCATATGTCATCTTGCACGGTTTCTGGGGTTCTGGGAACCAAACCCGGGCTTTGTGCATGTCAGGTAAGCACTCTACTAACAGCCACAGCTTTTGCCCCATGACTTTCACTTCTCAGTCGACATCTTTCTTCTGCACCCTGATTCTCTCCCAGGAGGTCCTGGCCCAAGCGACCCAGGTTTCCTGCAGATGGCCTTGGAGCGTCACACTGCCAGTCCCAGAAGCATTGTTCTTGAACCAGTGCCTCTGGCCTGTAAGAGATCCTCCCTTTCCCTGTGGTCTCCTGGCTTCTAGGCCCTTACCTCTCACCTTCATCCCGGCCCTGTCTGGGCCCAGTGGGACAGACAGAGGCAGAAGGCAGCTGTCCCCAATCCTCCCAAGTGGTCCCTTCTATGCTCTGCAGCGCCCTGTAGCCACCATGTGGAGTTCATTCTCAGCTGACCTTCAAAGATACCCGGATCTTCAGAGACTCTGGGGAGCTCAAGGCCATGAGTTAGCGGCTGTGGGGGAGGGGAAGACTGGCCCAACCCTACCTCCCCTCTCCCACACATCCCAGGCAGGCAGGGGAAGATCAGTGTTAGAGGCCCCCAGGTTGTCCTTGGTTTGTGTTTTCTTCAAGGCCCTCTGGGCTGGCTCAGAATGGGACATGGAGGGGCCCCGCAGCTCAGCTCATAGCCAGCATGCAGCAGCACTTTGCCCCTGAGACAGTATGGCACCATCACAAGGGTTCCTACCACAGCTCCAGGGGAGAGTCCTGGAAGAGGAACTTGGGCAGCTCCGGTCTGTTGCAAGGCTCCTGGACCTCAGGATAGCCCAGGCCATGCATCCCAGGCTCTGCACTGGTCCCCCCGGCAGGAACATTGTTGGGGGTGTCCATGGACATGTGTGGGGCTTAGAGAATCCTGCCAATTTGAGGATTCTTGACTGGAAACGGGATGGGGGGGCGGGGAGAGTGAGAAGATGGAGGGGAGGCCTCGGAGATCACAGACCACCAATCAGGATGCCGAAGACAGTATGCTTTTGCTATTTTTTTTTTTCCCCTGAGAGGGCTTCATTTACCCATTCTGACCTCGAAGTGGCTACATAGCTGAGGATGACCTTGAACTTACTCTCCTGTGCCTACTATCAAACTGCTGGGATTGCTGGCATGTGCCACCAGGCATGGAGATCGAACCCAGGATGTCACTCTTGCTAAGCCCAGCCCTCACCACTGACTGAGCCACCCCCGAGCCTGGCCATTTCCCCTGTCTTTCTCACATGGGTGGTAACTTCTGGCCTTGCACTTCGAGCCACTATTGACAGCCAGGAGCTCCAGTCACTCACCTGCTGCGGCTAGGCAGGCTGGGCTGGGTGGACGGGCACCACTCTGTGGCCTAGTTAGATGTCCTTAATGAGGCATCTTAGCCCCTGCCGCTTTTCTCAGACCAGTTAGTGCCAAGGTATTGTCTTGATGTCTCTGTAAACCCAAAGACAGAATACTTTTAAAGTGGAGCTTTCACCTGGTTATTTATTCACTTAAGAAACATTTACTGAGTGCCAGCTTTCTGTGACATCCATATATTATCTCAGTTTAGTTCTCTCAGCCTGGATGTGGAAGACAGCAGGTTGCCATTCACCCCATTATATAGATGGCAGCACTGAGGCCAGAGCAAGGAGCAGAGCAGCTTCACTCAAGGTAGCTTAGCTCCAATAGAAGAGCAGGAACTTGCAGTCATTTCCAGAGTCTCTTACAGACACTGGGCTGTCCAAGAGGGCTAAGGGGCCAGGCGGTTGTTCTGGGGCCTACCAGGAGAGTCTGGGGAGCAGTGTCTTCAGTGTTCTTATGAGGTAGCCCACTATGGCCTGGACCCCAGCCCAGGCAGTGGCTTAAACTGCACACTGAGCCGTTTCTGTGCCCAGCAGTGGGAACAGCCTTATGTGTCCTAGCCCTGCTCCTTTCCCGTCTAGCTGGGAGATAAAAGGCTGCTGGGCCAGGGTGGGATGAGGGTAGGCAAGCTATGGACAGGGTGAGGCTGAGCAGGGAGGCCATTGCTAGCCTAGCCTCTGGCTCTGTGGTGGTGGAGGAGGTAGCCAGGACCACTCCAGCAGTAGTCACTGAGAGCTTTGGCTAGACGTCCAGCAGGTTGGCCAGTGGACTCCAGTCTGCTCTACCTTTTAGAGTCTTCATTAATGAAATGAGATGCTAAGAGTGCCTACTTCAGGGGCATGCCAGGGCAGGGTTCTGTGCAGGCTGGCACCATGGTGCTGTGGGTCGTAGCTCAAGTATCACGTGGAATTCCGAGGACGGCTTTCAGTTGGGTCTCTCCATGTGGTTCCCAGGGACTGAACTGGGTTGGCAGCAAGCACCTTCACCCAGGGAGTCATCTCTCTGCCCCCCAGGTTTTTTGTTTTGTTTTAAGATAGGGTTTCACGTGGCCCAGCCTGGCCTTGAACTCCCTGGGTAGTGCAGGATGACCTTGAACTCCTTATCCTGACTTGCCTCCGCCTCCCGAATGCTGGGCACTGCATTACTGGGATATGCCATGACATGAAGTTTATGTGATGCTGGGATTGGAACCCCAGACATGCCAGGTGAGCCCTCTACCAACATCCCCAGCCCATGTCTCCAAGCTTGGTGCTGTGTGTCAGGAAGGGTGCCCCCACCCTCCCCTGGGCACTACCTCTGAAGCACACACCTTTTCTTTTTTTTTTGGTTTTTGAGACAGGGTTTCTCTGTGTAGTTTTGGTGCCTGTCCTGGATCTTGCTCTGTAGACCAGGCTGGCCTCGAACTCACAGAGATCCGCCTGCCTCTGCCTCCCAAGTGCTGGGATTAAAGGCGTGCGCCACCACCGCCCGGCTAAGCACACACCTTTTTTTGTATCTGTCCGGCACTTGTTGACTATCAGCAGGGAGCCTGAGTCCTGTCAGAGGAACATTTATTGGGTACTTCCCTCCCAACCTGATAATGTCCTCTAAATTAGATACTCTGCCGCTCATTTATCTTTACAACCTGGTGAGGGGGAGGGTGGAGCCCATTTAACCGATGGGGAAGCTGAGGTTTTGGAGGTGGGCTATTCAAGAGGAGCCAGGGGGCCTTCCTCATGCTGTCCCCCTTCCATATTCCCTAGGGACCCAGCAGTCCTTGAGTTTTAGGAGCCTGGAGTTCTAGAGGCTGCGGTGTTCAACCTGGAGGGGCCCCTCGGAAGCCCCCAGCTGCAAAAGAAACTTCATTCCACCCACCCTGAGAGTCTGTGTCGCCCCAGGCTGCCCACCTGCAGCCCAACCTGCAGGGGAAGGGCCTATCTGTGAGCAGGAACAGGCTCTCTCTTTGGCCATGGCAGGCCAGGTGGGGGGGGGGGGGTCAGTCGGGCCTGAGGACCGTGGAGGGTCAGAGACTGAACTCACCGAGGGCACTTCCAACTGGGATTTTTTTCCTTCTCTTTTCTTTTCCCTTCTTTTCTTTTTGAGATGGGCAAAGATGGCTCTGAACTTCTGATCCTCCTGCCTCCACCTTCCAAATGCTGGGATCCCGGGCAGGTAATTACACCTGGTATACCTGTTTCATGCTGTGCTATAGATGGAACACAGGGCTGTGTGCCTGCCAGGCAGAGC